TAAGATCTTGTGGATGTTTTCATAGCAGGGCGATATCTTATCCTTGCTGTCTAGTGTGAGAAAGTTTCCATCTATGTTTCTGCTAACTGATAGATGGATTAAAGTCATCTAAGGTCACTTTCCATTTTTGTCCATTCTTTGGAGCAGTGTAATCAGGTCAAGAACTGAAGTTGTTTGTTTGTTTGTTTTCTCACATACGCTGTGGTTTGAGATGTTTATGAACAGCACCACTCTGACCCTTATGCACCAGGACACTAACGCAAACACCCCCACGGGACGTGTTTCCTCGCACCTGCCGGCTCCATCCAGTCAGCCTCAGGATTCCCCAGTCCCTGTCTTCATGGGTCCTTGCTGCCCCAAGCCCCTCTTCTCCCAAGGAGTTTTCTCATCCTTTCTTTCTCCTGTGAAACCTGGTCCTGCAATTCTGTATTTCCCTGCTGCGTTTTCCCTGTGCCTTATATTTGATTTCACAAACGCTGATTGAGTTGATAGTGTAAGCTATGCAAATACTCAATAATGACATATGCAGCTCCTCTACTTTAGGGGAGTTTGATGAGGCAGAAAATATGCAAATATTTGTAATGAAGAATTAGTAAAATGTGTGTAGAGATTTAACAAAAAGATAAAGTTTGGCTACAGTGCTTCTTGTTAGCTTATTTTACTTGAATTTATTTATTTTTGGTTTTTTGAAACAGGGCTTTGCTATGTAGTTCAAACTGGCCTTGAACTCACCCCATAGTCCAGGCTGGCCTTGAACTCACAGTGCTCCTCCTGCCTCAGACCCCCAAATTCTGGGATTATGCACAACCTTGTTAGCTGATTGTAGTCAATGACTATTTTAGGTGTGGAAGACCTGAAATGGATTAGCACAGATTTTAACAGTAGATTTGTGCATTTCACATTGCCTTCCCCAAAGGTTATGCCTCTAAATCATGTATTTTTTGGTTTGATACAATGAAAGTGGGAAAAGGGCCAGGTGGTAAAGCACGCTTTCACATTAGTGCCTTAAATTACACTAAGTTGGCAAGAGTCACGCGTATCTACATATGAAGTCAGCACTTGATAAGAGATAAATGATAGGACTGCTTTATGTCAATTCTAGCAAACTTATAAAACACTTATGGCCCTGTCCTTGAATTCTTGGTGCAATCCTCAGAACACTCTCTGGAGTAGAGACTATCAAAAGAATGTTCCATACAGAGAAGCGAAGTGGGTCTGCTTGCTAGGGGTGACCATGGGAGCACATGCGACTCAAGCCAGGTTCTTAGTCTCTGCCTGTGTCTCCTCCTGTGTGCCTGGAGCAGGAAGACTGCTTGGGAAGCCAGTGCTGGGTAGTCACAGGCTTCTGGGCCAGGCTGCTCCTGATACTTTGTATGAACCACTCAGATTTTGATGCTTCCAAATATGCATGCCATCTACTCTGTAATGCACACATAACTCTTCTTTTAGTGAGGACAATTATAGGGCGCTCCTCATCTTTTTTTTTTTTTTTTTTTTTTCCTCTGGTACCGGGAACCGAACTCATGACCTTGCGCTTGCCAGGCAAGCGCTTTTGCCGCTGAGCTAAATTCCCAGCCCCGGTGCTCCTCATCTTGAAGCAAGCACCAAGAACCACATTCATGAACTTCTATCTTCTAACTTGCATGTGTCCTGTGGTATCTTTTCAGTGTGTGCAAGCTGGGTCTATCACATTGGAGATAAATGCATACCACAACAGCTGAGACAGGGTTAGCAAAATAGTTGTCTTGAAAGTTTGTCCCGCCTCTTACCATCATCTAACCATCAGAAATAGCCAGCAAGATAACCATATCAGAACAGCTACGTTATTTTAAAGTATTTGGATGTCTAAACAACTCCCCACTATTACTCCCTATTTAGATTTGCTGTTTTTATCCACTTGTGCAAATGAATTATTGCTTGGACATGAAATGGAGCAGGAGAAAATAAGAAAGACATATCTTTGAAAAGATATATTTCCAGACCCAATAGTCACGGGTGCAAGAGATTTTCCAACTGGATCCAGTTTATTCATATTTTTAAAATTAATTTGCTACCAGGAAGCCAGAGTTGAGAAAGTCCAGAATGGTTTATGACAATTTCCTGCTGTGCTTCTGATATAATTTAACTCTTGGTCAACAACAATTTTGTATCATGTGGTTTGACAATATTAAGTGACTATTTCCCTTTAGAATTTGAATCACTGACAAAAAAGACAACACTTTTTGATGTTTCCAACGTCAAAAGTTAATTAGCAGGAGTAGTTTCTCAACCAGGTAGTAGTTGTGTTCTGGGAAAAAAGTCCGTCTTAGAAAACACTCTCACCTATTTGATAAAACACATTCCCCTTGCTTATTCTAACGCTCAGTGTCCCAGGTGAGAAAGAAATAGATCTACTGGGTAGTGGCCAGAGTGTTACAATAACCAAGGTCAAATCTGTTTGCTCAATAATCTGCTTTGAATTCTAGTTATTCAGCTGTATTTACTGCAAGCAGATAAACAAGCAGACTTAGAGACACAGTCCAAACTGCTTCCAAAACACTGGTCCAAATTGTGAAATCCGTTCACAAGACATCTCCCTTGTCAAGCAGAAGGCCGGTAAGAAGAGCAGATGCTGTTAGTCTCAATTTGTGATAGCTTCACTGCACATTATAAACTTTTCAGGTACATCCTAGAAGGTTATATTACCAAAGAATGAAAATCAGTGCGAATTCACTTCATAAGCACATATCGTACAGAGATTTTAAATGAAAAATACGAAGGAGAAGGGAGTGGACAATGCCTTGGATTTTAAAGCCAAAAGATCTAGAGTTGCTGACCTGCACTTCCAACGGCTCAGTTTCCCTGGTCAGAGAAATGGGCTTCATGCTTTAGAGTTTCCAAGATTCTCTTTGAGAATCCACTCAGCCATATCTGCAACTTAATTACCAAGTAGTCTGGATCTAGTAAAAAGAAGAGGGAATTTAACATGCTATAATAAACTCAAGTCATTGACTGAACTATGTTTTATGCTTTATATATCCTTTACCGCTGAAAATCACCTATAAGAAAGCACAGAAATGATTATTATTTCCTCAGCCTGAGTATTTTTAAAATGAGCATTAATTTGCAAACTAAAAATGTGAAAATATATTTTAAAGAATTTGCCAAAAGGGTTTCATTATGGTTCTTTACATGGTGATATCTTCCAGGGAACAAACTCTGTACAGAAATGTTTTGACTTTGACAGTAAACTGAGAGCTTCAGGAGGGTGCCAGAAAACTGTAATCTCATAAAAAAAAAAAAAAGAAAGTCCATCGGACATGGGATGGGAGAAAGAAATGAACAATATGAAAAAGAAGTAAATTGAATTGTTCTGAGAGCAAGTATTGATTGCTTGAATTGTGCATTAGATGAATTGTTAGAATTGAATGAAAATGGTCTCATTGGTACAGTTTTGGAACGGTTTCTTTTAATAATTTTACTGAAATTGCCTCCTAGGGAATATTTACCATCGTGCTATTGCAGGGGAAGTGGTGATTCTGATTCTCTGCTCAGGTGTTCTTCCCATTCGCTTAGCCCCAGGGCATTTTTGGTCAACGAGGGTCTGAGGGTGCAATGTCTCGGCTCTGTCCTTGCTATGGACGGATCCCTCACGTGCACAGGTCCTTACCGCTGTGTGGAGTGGATTATGGACCACACAGCAGTAACCTGCTGCACAGGTTTGTGCCCTGGTGTGCCCCAGGCTGAGCCACCTCGGTGTGTGGTGTTTCCAGGTGCACACTGTACCATTCCTGCCCCAGAGAATCTCCTGACGATTCATTTCTCAGGGCCACCCCTGTTATTAGGAGATACATGGCTATTATACCACTTCCCTTAACCATTTCAGAAGGAGCAGCTGTCCTGGAAGAGAAAATTTGTCTGTAGAGGTCAATTGGGAGTCACTAATTGTAAATACACGTTAGGGTTGTTATTTCTCATGCCCTGTCTATTTAATTAATAATGCTGTGTATTTTCAAAGGTGAAGTTCCTCCCCTCCTACAAATACTGTACTCTGTTTATGCACAGGAAGAGAATCTAAATGAATTTTTCTAAAAATATTTGGAGATATAGTTTGAAATGCTAGTCATTGTTAAATTACCAAAATACTTTAAGAATGAACTTCTGAAATTTTTATATGGTAAGAGAAAGAAACTTTTTAAAAAAAAAAAGCTTAAAAAATTTTCTGAGTAGTTGATTCTATATGGGTAAAAATGAGATTGATTCAGCATAATGGTATTAAAATAACATTTTCCACTTCAACAGTAAGTAATCATTGTTAAAAATTTATTTCCATAGTGATATATACTAGCAGAGAATTTTCAGTGATTCTACTTTTTCTAAACAAAGATAAATTTAAAGTAATATACTTTTGTAAATCTTAATCTGCATAATGGTGTTCTTCTTCATAATGGTGTCAAAAATGCCTTACACTTAATTTAAGCTAAAAGAAGTACAAGAAATTAGAACAAGAGGGAAGGAAATATGGATCAATAACCCTTAATATGTAGTCAAGACCATGACTGAAATTTTTGAAAATCTGATGTCATTTTACACAACTGACATGTCACTAGAATCAGCATCAAATATTGTTGAAATGTTGACATTAAAAGAACTATAACTACCAGGCTATAATTACAAATGTCAGGGTATACCAATCATATTTCCCTTATTTAAAAAAAATTAGCATTTATAAACATAACATCAAGATTTTCCATTTTGGTCTTCCTTTCAAGTTCTTCCATTTGCATGGGATTGAGAATGTTTTTTCAACCATATACACTCGCAGTTTGACGCAAGGTGAACTTCTAACTCTTGGCTAATCCTAAGCACTGGTACTGTGCTATTTGCGTAGTGTTTCTGAAAGTGCCATCCTGTCAATCCTTTTTCTTTGTGGATTTGCCTAGTTACACAGAATAGCTAACTACTTTTAAAAAGGTGTCTCCTGTTTGTTGTGGCTACTTTTCATGTGAAATATGCAGGGTCACATTACAGTCTTCTAAGTGCAGTCAGCTAAACTTCAACAGAAGCAACAGTGGAACTCCGAGGTGCTCCTGTGGAGTGGGAGGCAGTCGCCCTGCTTGGTCCCAATAATGCGCTCGGCACTTAGTGCTCATAATAAACAGCTCTCTTCCTGTGCTCTCGGGGAATCTGATCTTTCACTGAGGTGAGTTCTGCCCCAAGGGTCTGGAGGGGATGGAAAGAATTTAGAAACCTTGAAGGTGGCTTCCGTGAACACCTGGTCAGTTATTTGAGACAATAAGCAGGAAGCAAGGCAAGTTTTAAAATGCTTATTTTCAGACTTGTCGTGCTGCTTCCTGACCCAGGATGAATCTCTGGAAGGTGATCGTGCAGAGCCTGAAGTGATTCTCTAGTTCCACACTAGAAGGAATGGGATTAGTTACCATCCTAAGACCTAAAACCTGGAAATCTACCGGGCCATTATGACTGGAAAGCAAAGCACATGGCATGTTTGGAAGAATTTTCAGACTTTACTCTTTGATCCTAGCTTTTAGATTTTAGTCATGTATGTGATTTTCAGTGTTAATTCGTACATATATTTCTGGTGTTACAGTTTATGTTCATTGACAAATGCTTCTCCCACTGTTTTCAGAGAAACACTAATGATCACAATGGTACAAATAATGGCTATAAAATGCACTATTAGGTGACATTTGTGACTTTCTACCAAATCATACTGATTTTATGATCATGATGATGGTTTCCCTGATTCAAAATTTTAAGCTAGCACGAGTTAAACAACTAGTTACCAAGAGTCACCCAATTTTCCAGTGACAAAACTAGAGGTCAAAGCAGGCGTGAGCTCTTCCTGAGTTACCAGATGCACGGGGAGAGCCAACCCGTAACTGTGCTTGTCACTGTGGAAGCCAGGACTGAAAGTGGGTCTGACGGGAGAAGCCCCTCTACCACATGTTCTCTTCTATGTGACAAAGTTAACTTCTGAAGGAAACAAAACTCACTTCTGAAGAATGCTTTGCATTTACAGATACTTGCAAATCTTATGCCCTTCCCATTAAGAAGTGGTGAGTGGCTCTTAGTTCATTTCCAATACTTAGGAGACTGAATGCAAGGGGGCCCTTACCCACAGGAATAAGTCACCTTCTTCCAGACTGACAGATCTCTCACACCACACAACACACCCAGGTTCGTACCCCGTTAACCGCCCACTGACTTACATAAGCTCTGATGTATCTTGATGTGGTAGACATGGAAAGGTCCCCAGTGGGGACAGAGTTGGCTGGGAAGGAAATGCACTTTAGGGTCTTTAGCAATCCTTCCTCCACCCTATCGCAGAAATTTGGAAAAAGATCCTCCCTTACAAAGAAAACCTGTGATGAAAGGGAAATTGAAATATATTCTTTTTAAGTTTTAAATGATATTGGAACCTAGAAAATAATAATCTTTCAATGATCCTGTTACAGAATCTTAAAATATGAGCTGTATGTCCCTGTAAAAGTCAAAGCCAGTCCTCTCACATTTCAGATCAAGTACTTGTTGCCATGTTGAGATCTCTGTGTGGAAGGTGATTGGATCTGGGGTGCTGTACGCATCAGGGGGTGGGTTCACTGATGAGCTCCCTGATGAGAACGTGCTGTGCTGGGGGGCCGGGTCAGAACTGGGGGCCATCGAGTCGGACTGGGGAGGGTGCCTGCTGCCTGGCTCTCTGGCCCCATCCTGCTCTGCTTCCTGGCTGGAAAGGGGTGAGCATCTCTCCTGCCATGCCTTACGGCATGCCATGGTAGAGTCCTCTGAAAATCATGTTCTGAAGTTAACCATTCCTCCTTTCAATTTTGGATATGTTTTGTATTTTGTTCTAACGATGGGCAAGTGATTAATACATTTATTTAAAACACAGTTCAACCTCCCAAATACCTTTGCTTGTATTCAGTCAGAAAATATACATACAATGTTGCTCTCATAATTTCTGTTTTGTCCTGCCTTTGTTGTAAAGAAAGATCCTACCCATGCTCCTTCTGCAGGAACATAGGAAAGTGGCCACCAAGGTCATCTTCTTTCCTTGTGTGCCCTGACTTTGCTGTGTGTCTGCATCTCTTCCCACCATGTAGCTCCTCAAGCAAGATTGAGTCTATTCCAGACCTGGACTCTTGGCTGATCCACATGACTTGCTCTGAGCAAGTTAGGAGGTCTGATGCTAGCAGAGACTTGAAAACCCTGGGCACTGGGTCTTGCTGTCTTGTGAGTCTTTGGAGCCCTGACTCTATTACATCCTGCTCCAAGCCTGGAGACCAAGAAGCCTTCTGGAATGAAGACTCCACAGCCCAATCCCCTGTGGGAGCCAGCATGTGGGAGAGATCAGTCTAGACTGCCATGCCTTGATCAAACCTGCCTCAACGGAGCAACCCTGTGTATGATCCAAAGATGGCAGAAGTGAAAGTGTGCACAGCTTCAAGGGCCAAAGTTTCAGGGGTAGTTTGTTACACAGCAACAAACAGTTGATACATTTTCTACGCTGCCTTTGTTGCTGTTGTGAATGGAAATCTTTCGGAAAACACGGCTAGCATTTCCCAGCGTAAACAGAGCATCGAGGAATGTGGAAACATAAGCACTCACACTATGCGGCAACAGTAGGAAGATGGGCTGGTTGTGTTAAGAAACAGAATGAACGCCACGTTCAGCTCACACAGCCCGACGCCCTGTGTGAGGAAGACGCAAAGCAAGGCGGTGTTTATGCTGAATTCTTCATGGCAAAGTTAACTTTGTGATTTGTTTATACTTTTCCCCATTTCCTTGGTTCCGCCACACTGTCTGGGTTTTAACAGGCTTCAGTTTTCCCTCGTTTGCTGAGACAACGTCTGAGTTAAGGATTAACATTTGTACAGTGAAACGTAAATGCTTGTGGGATGTATATAATATTTTAGGGAAAGCTTATGCAGCTTTACCCCTTTCACAGAGTTTTGGTTTCACGAGGAGCCTTCTGATATTTCCTTACAAGTCCACTTTGATACATGCTGCAGAGGCAGAAAGAAAAGTAGAACATTTTTTATTCTGGGGCTCATAGTTATAGTAGGTAGTTGGTTTAGACAGTGAGTTATAGAGAATAACTCTCAAACTGTACTTCGCTTTTTCTATTTTCTATTATGTCATATTTCAACTACCTGTCTTAATAGATTAATCTGAATTTCTTAAGTTACATTGAAGTAAATGTATAATATGATCAGATTGAGTAAGAGTAATACTTCTTAGTACAATAAAATGTCCACGTTATAATACATTTCTATAGTTTGTATGGAGTGTGTTTTTGAAATCATTTGGTTTCCCTATTTTTGCCTTTCTTTGAGACTCTTGAAATCAGCTGCCCGTGTCCCACAACATCCAATTGTCTAAATTATCTAAATATCCTAGAGCTGGAAGAAAATTGAAAGAACTCTGGAGTTTGTAATGTATATTCTACACTTGTTCAGAGTAAAATATGCCTTTGTAAATGTCCTGTGTTGTGGCTTCTATCTACATGTCTCTGCAAAGCCTCATCCACTCATAGGCAGGGCTTCTGGGGACAACTGGTTGCGTGATACTGGATCATGCCTGTGTATACTGGATCATGCCTGTGTATACTGGATCATGGTGTGTAGTACTGGATCATGGTGTGTAGTACTGGGTCAGCCCATCAGTTAGTTTAGCCTGGCTCTGGCTGTGGATGATAGATTTACTAAAGAGGGAAGAACCACTCTGGAGGTGGAAGCACCAACAATAGGCTTGTAGCCTGGGTGGAATAAAAAGAGAAAGAAGAAGAAAAGCTACGGCTTCCTGCATGCCCTGCCCTGCCTGTTTCTCCTCGACAGTGCCACCCCCCCTTGGAGCTGGCCAACTGTGGACTGACTGAAACCCCTGCAAACCAGGAGTCAGAATAAACTTCCCTCCCTTAACTCGTGGGTACTGGGTATTTTCTCCCAGTGATGAAAAAGTAAGTACGATATACATTTAATATTGATACAATGCTTTTATTTATTTGTAGAATTCAACATATGATGCTACTCTCAATCCATTTTATGGCGAATTTAGGACTGGAAGGTGTAGGTTAAACTTCAAATGTTTAAAAAAGCACTTGGAAAGAATTGAGATGATGACTTTTGATTACATCAAGGATATATTCCTTAGGTAAAGTGTGCAAAATAAGGTAAAGTTGGACATGTCTAACTGTATAATGCTTTTTAGAAATCCAAGTTAAATTATTCCGTATATAGTGGCACACACAAAAAGCAAGCTACAATCACAGAAAGTTATCTGTCATACATACAACTTGCAAAGCATTACCATCAGAATGTATAGACATCTCTTTAAAATAAGCAAAGATCCGTAAACAAACACTACAGATAAATGAGTGCACAGGAGTGGCCAACCCATCCATGAAACGATACCTGCGAGCAGAATGCTTCAACCATTTCACAGCAGACGGAAGCCCTGTCTTTCCACCCTCTGGAGCCTTGCAAAACTCCTGATGGAGAAGCTCCCTGTGGGATTCTGAAGTGTGCTGTGGTTGGGAAACATTTTCCTCCATTTGTACAAATCCTTGTCCAGAGGGATCAACCCTCACATCCTAAAGTTGTAACTTCCAAACAGTCCACTGTGCACCTCCTCCTGATTGCCTCTGCGGGGTGGGTGCAGAGATGCACACCAGTGAGTGCAGAGCACCGGTCTTAAAAGCCAGGGGCTATGCACTACGCTGGACAGTACAGGCCAAGGCCGCGGGCCAGAGATGCCCCCAACCCTCCGGAGGTGCAGAAGAGGTGACGGCAAAGCCCTGTCCAGGTAGTCTCTTCTGCCCCCTCGTACTGCAGCTGTGTGCCCACTCGGAGAGCTGCACCGCTCTCTCCCTCCCCATCGCTGCTAATTGACAAGGGCAAGCGAGCACTGCTGCTTCTGGGGAAGAGCAGGGAAGGGCTCAGGGGCAGGGCCTGGGGGATGCAGCTCTTCTGAGGATCCCAAACAGCTGATTAGTTGCTCTCGCACAGGCCGGGGAGCGCGTGTTCTCGCAGCAGTGACCTCTGCGTCACCTGCAGGGAACAACAAAGAACTTGTACAGTGCCCCACACGATGACGTGTCAGCTAATCTCTCTCCTCTGTAAAAAGTGCTAAGTATGAACAATTAAAAGGTAAAAAGCATGTAGACAAATGGGCAAGGCATGG